GTCAGTTCTTATGCGTTGTAGCCACATTTCCAGTACTCAGGGGTCACAAGTGGCTAGTGGCTGCCACATCAAATAGGCAGGTACAGAACATGCCCATCACTGCAGGTCTTTCTGTACAGCAGCATCTCATGGCGCCTGCATATTTACTAAGGGCCAGACACTATAAGCTCTTTGCATGTAAGTCATTTAATTCTCATATTTATTATTTGCCTTCAGTTTACAGATGAAAAATCTGAGGCATGGAGAGGTTAAGTAACTTGCCCAAGGAAACAAAGCTAGTAAGTGGTGGAGCCAGGATTTCAAATACAGGCAGTGTAGCCACAGGCAGTGTAGCTCTGCTCCTACCCACTAAACTGTATTTTTATTTACAGTGACTAGCAGAACATTCTTCAGGACTTTACATTTACCCCAATTAAATATCATAGTCTACTCCTGAACCCAATATTCTAATTTATCAGAAGATTTGGAAAGCTTTGTTATACAGATTATTAGCTATTATAGTTTCTACTCCTGTGTAATATATCATCCCAAAACTTAGTGGTATAAAACAATTTCATTGCTTTTATATTTCATCATGCTCACTGGTTTAGTAGCCCAAGAATTTAGATTAGACACAGCAGAAATGTCTTGCTTCTCCTCCACTACATGCAGGGCCTCAGCTGAGAAGATCTGATGGCTGGAAGTGCTTCATGCTGGGGGTAGAAATCATACAGATATCTTCACTCACAAGCCAGCCACTTGATGCTGGATGGTACCTGGGATTTCAGCTGGGGCACCTGATGGGAGTATTTGCATGTGGTTTCTCAAGGGAACGTGGGCTTCCCCGTAACATGGAGACCTTAGCTTGCATTTCTTACATTGCAGCTACAAAAAGCACAGTGTCCCACTGGACAAAGCAGAGCCTATGTTTCCTTTTATGACCTAGCTCTGGAGGCTGCACCATATCCATCATTTCTACCAAGCGTAACTGGTCAAAGCAGTCATAATAATCTCACCTAGATTCAAGAAGAGGGGAACAGATACCACCTCTTGATAGAAAGGTAGCAGGTCACATTATGGAGGAGCACATGGGATGGGAGATAGAGATATGGCTATCTTTATCCAAAGCTTTTCTCTATACTTGTACTATATATTATGCTGGTATTCTTTATTTTCAACCTCCCAGTTTCCACCCATTTTTCCCTGTGCCCTAGACGGCTGACCCCTATGGATGATACCACCTGAGCATCTTTATCAGTGGAGGCCATAAGCAGGAGATCAAAAGCAGGAGCATAGCTCAGGGAATATCCTCCCTATTTCCTCCCTGTTTAGGCACCACATTTCTGGCAGTAGCACATTTCTAGCTACATCTCTCTGTAAATACAGTTCCTGTGAAAGTGGCCCCATCTCCCCTGCTCTGGCTCTCAATGGATTCCAGCAACACTATTTCCATTCCTCTTCCCTTTAAACTAAGGGTGCTAATGTTTTTTGCTATACAAGTCTCTAAGTCTCTCAGTATTCCTTGTTTGTTCCTGAACCCTGATCAAAATTCTATAAATAGTTCTTGCATTAAACTCTCTTCATTTAAATCACTGGAGACAATTCTGATTCTCATCAGGACAAGGACTGATACAGGCACACAATAGGAACTAAATAAAGATGGTTCAGAAAACAAATGTGAAACTTTCAATATCTTCTTCTAAGTATTTGATAGAAGTGTTGAATAGTATAATTATGTTCCTCTATAACTATTATGAATTTCTAGATTGACAGAGATCCTATACATATTTATGGGAGCTAGATGTCTCAACAACTATATTCTATTATTCTTTCAAAAATAACCTTTTCTATAAAAATATGAATGACTCTTTTAAAAGCCTTGCTCCATATGTTTGTCATATTTCTGATTTAGCATAAAAGCAATCTTAGTTTTCCATAACTAATAAAACATGACCATGTCTTTCTTTTCAAAGAGTTTATAAATAAAATATCAAATAGTTCTATTGCTTTGATAGCCTTGCTGGATACTGAATTATACTGATCTCTACTGTCCGGGCTTTCCTTTTTGCCTATTATTTTAAAAAAGAATATTTACACAACTCTAGTTTTGGCGTACCATGCCTGCATTGCATTTCTCCTGGATGACTAGTGGTGATGAGGATAATTACATATGTAAATTCCCTGATTATGCTTGATAATGCAAATCTCATTTTACAGTCCTGAATACCTTTAAACAAACAATTAGAGTTTTCATTTACTGCTACCAGGTAAGAATCTCAGTGCTTCCCTGTGACCTAGTTACCTATGATAAGTTTCAATTGCTCTTTCTTCTACACATTAAGTATGTAATAAAAATAAAGGTAATGTATTTTACTTTAATATACTTTCCAAAAAAAAGGAGAACCTTTCCCTTTAAACACAGAGAAAAAGGCCTTTTTTCTCTAATTACATTTATTTTTTTGCAAGCCTTACCTCATTTGGCCCAGTTCTAACGCTATTCATACAATATCGTTATAATTTTTATCCTTTTGTTTTTGTTATTGTTTCTTGTTTCTGAATCATCAGTTATGTTCTCTTATGTTCTCTATGGTCTTTTGAGATATTTGGCATCATTTTCTCTTCACTGGATTATTTGAAAACTCAGAACAATTGTTTGTTTTACTCTCCATCTCTCTTGATTTATGTTGTCATTTAGAGTTTCTGTCACATCTTCCACCTGGACTTCCAGACTGTGATTACAAGAACTGAACCTTGCATTTCTTTATTTCCAAGAAATAGTTAGTACAGCATCTTAGCCAAAATATCTAACATGTACTTGTAATATACTGTGGCAAGAAAAGAATAACAATAAGCCAAAGATCCTACTCATGCAAAAGCTTTTAGATGGCAGCGTGATATATATTCACAAATAATCTAAGAGAATAAGGAACCACAAGTGTAAACATAAACTAAATATGAAAGTAGTGGATCTCAAAGTACTAAAGGGTTACCATAGTATAGTTTAGAAGTAATTTTTAATACCATCCTAGGGTAGGCTGGGCAATGAGTTCTACATAGCGGGGTAGAGTTCTACATAGCGGAAGGCTAAAAAGGAACTAGTAGGCCAATAGAGAGTACTTACCGTAGTTAATGGTTGAAAAATTCAACTTACTGAAATATAAGCAAGAGGGTAATTTAAAAAATTTCTAAGTATTCTTTTCAGACTTCAACCAATGTGATATCTTTACCTTAATCTATGTGGCCAGTTTCTGTAGGAGTGGTTCTTAACTTGTTTAAGTGTCCAACACATGTAATTGAACAACACTGATATGCAGGGTGGATCCATGTGTATGGAGCTGAAGTTTGCAACCTTTTTAAAAAGAATACAAAACTATGTAGAAAAACAAAATTTTATTTACAATGAGAAAAGAAATCTCAACAACTGATTGAAGCCATGGAGATCTATATTCCTTTATTCTGAGACAGCTGTAGGCAATATACCAGAAATGCTTACTTAGAAATGTTTCTGCTTGCAACCTGTCCTTCCACAACCTACCTAGAACATCTCCAACTCCCATTTCCAACCACCCAAACAAAACAACATCTGAAGCTTAAATTGCATTAGCTTCACCTTAGCTCTACCTCTGACAACAGGGGCTCATTAGAACAGTGATTCTTAAGAGGGAGCTAGAACACTCAGAATCTAAGAAAGGAGAAACCACATGCCAAGTTTAAAACAATCCCAGATGATTTGGTACACAAATGCCACGACTCCCAACACTCTTCCTTCCCTCGGCTAGAAGTTTCACAATGTAGAGTCATACACAAATATTCAGAGACTCACGGGGATCTTGGAAGACATTGTAAGGGCTGGCCTATTGTCCCTGATCTGAACATAAAGTATATGTGGAATGTAAAAAGGCAGTGTTAACATTTTACAACTGAACATAAAATAAATTCACTGTTTTATAATTTAAGCACACTGAAAGGTCAAACACTTTATCAAGAGCACAAACTGATACTCTGTCTAAATATCTAGAACACAACATGCCTACCATTTCATCTAATCCTAAGAAAAAGGAGTTTTGCATAATATTCCTCTTTGGGGTCAGATATCACTTTCTAACTGCACTTCGCTCTCCCACAATAAAGCAGTGGTTAAGTATGTTGCTTTACCTAACATCTCGAAGTAACATTTAACTTTAGTAATTAATGCAATGTTCTCACATCAACTCAGGTATTCCACCAGCAGCAACGTGAGAAACTTCAGCGGCCCTGCCAGAAAGGTATTTTTTTCCAAAAAGAAATGACAACCACCAGCGTACACGCACCACACGTCCGCCACTAACCCGAGTCAATTTCTCTACTACAAAGTAAGAGGGCCCTTTGGTCCAGATTTCTCTGGGGAAAGGAAAAAACGAAAGCGTCTGGCAGTGGGTTGGCCGACAGTCGCTGACCATCTGAAAAATCCTGAGCTCTGCAGTGAGGGAATTTCCTGCTGGACACACGAACCTTTTTCTCCTGAAGAGGGGACTCTGTCGCACCTATTCGCAGTGGACTTGGAGACTCACCCGAGTCTCAAATCCACAGCCAGTAACACTAAATCAAGGATAATTTCTCCAGACTCGAGTTATCTCTCTCCCCGAGTTCAGGGCTGGCCGCACGCGAAAAGCTGCTGCTAGGACGGGGCCACTTTCGGGCCACCGTCTCTCGGGTTCGGGCACTGTCTCGAGGAGACGTCTGCGTCAGCGAAGAAAACGAAAAAGGGAAAAAATTACAACTTTGCAGACTCCACGATGCCACCACCCAGCCGAGGGGTAGGTCAAAGTGCATTAGACTGGGCGGCAGCGGTCGGGGCCCTGCCGGACGCAGCGCGGGCGCGGCGGGCGGCCCGGCGGAGCGGGGGCGGCCGCGCAGAACCCCCCACTACCCCACCTCCAGCTCCGAGCCTCCCGCGCGCCGCTGCGGGGGCCGCCGCACAGCCGTGCCAACTCCGGGAGTTGCCTTGGAACTTTCCCGGGGCGCGCCGCCGCCGCCCTCACCTTACTGAACACCTCCAGGTCGTCCTCGTCCTCGTCCAGATCCAGCACCTCGGCCTGCAGCAGGGAGGAGGAGCCGCTGCTGCCCGGGACGGGCTCGGCATCCCCCGGGCTCTCCCCGCCGGCGCCCCCGGCTGGGAGGCCCGCAGCGCGCGCCTGAGACGCCCGGCGCTCGCCCTCCATCCCGAGAGTGCGCGCCCGGCCGGCCGCCGCTGCCAGCCCGGCTCCCCCGAGCCTGCCCATTGGCTCCCGCGCGTCCTGCGCCTCCCCGACCGGCCCCGCTCCAGCCCCTCGCCCGCTGCGCAGACGCGGAAACGGCGCGGCGAGCGCGGGAGCGGGGCTCGTCCCCCATCCAGCCTGGGGCCTGCGAGAGGCGCGGGAGTGGGGCTGTCGAGCTGTGGCTGGGGTAGGAAAGGGCCGCCGGCCGCTGGAAGAAAGCCGGGGAGGAAGTTGGAGGAGGGCGTCCGGGCGGCTGCCAGGCGAGGGTTTCCGCGGGGGCGTGGGTCTGGCCAGAAGCGCCTGGGCGAGGAGCCGCCGCGGGGCTGGAAGGCAGCCGACCCATCCCGCCGAGGGAAAAGCCAATAGTGTATTTCCTGCTTTAATGGTTGCCTTTCTTCTTGGTTGTGGTTTTCTAGTCCGCTTTTTACTAAGGCTAATGCAAAAATAAAGACAAGAAAAGCTCCTCTGTTTTGTAATTGATTTTTGACCCAGTGACCAGACCGTGTGGTCATTTTACTGTCAAGCCAGGCAGGTTGGATTTAAAACTATTTGCAGCCACTTTCATATTTATCTTTACTCCTAGACGTCTTCTTGAAGTTAATGAGCAAGAATGTTAATTACTGAGAGTCGAGGACAAGGAGCAGGACTGGACTTTGCCACCAGGAAATAATGTTCAGTCTGCGCTGCCAGTGCATACCTGTAATTATGGTTCACTGCTTAGTATTAAAAAAAATTAAATTACAAAGTAATGGAAAATTGAATGAAATCTGATTTCTTTGGAACTGTCTGCACGTTTTATTATTTGCTATCCTCAGTCTCAGCTCTTTTCTCCCATCAGTCCTGACAAAAATGTCTAAGAAGTTTGCATATAACCAGGGAGAGGACTAAGTCGAACTTGGTTTCTAAAACTTTTCCTGGCAAACTATTTAACCCAATGTTTAAAATGTTTAACTTTTAAAAATTTAAGAGATATATGTAAGATATATAGGGAAAGAGTTTCTCTGTTTCTGATTAGAGGAAAAGGCTTTAATAATATGTTCCCTCTTAATCAAAGTATCTCCCCCACTCAACCCCCCGCCCACCCATTGGTTTCAGTTTATATGCCCAATTCTTTACTTGGACTGGTCTCTGGGCCCTGTGAATATGCCCTCTTCTTCTGATGTTTTATGGTTCCTGTACCCAAAATGCCTGTTTTCTGCTCATCTTTTAGGAATTAACTATAGTCCCATCTCTTTCAGGAAGATTTTTCCAAATGACACAGTTTGTTAGCAATTTAGCATTTAGTTTTATTCAATTTTATAGATTGTACTTATTTCATGCGAATTCTTTACATTCTGTAGTAAACTCTAACTTTTTAAGGTTAGGGATCACATTATTTATTCATAAACGATGCTATCAGATGTACTCACTTAAAAAGGTTCTCTACTAAGGACTAGAAGGAATACAAACTATTGAAGATGGTTGTTTTCTCATTAAGCTCATCTGGCTAGTGAGAAAGAGTCAAGGTTTTCTAATTACAATATGAACAGGAAATTCCTAAGGATACTGTAACTCACAGAATTGTCAGAAAGCATAGAGACAGGCTCAGAAAATGGACAGAACACAGCAAGACTACACAACTTGGATCACAGCCCCAGCCATGCCGCTGAACTAATGGTGTAGACAGTGCAGCCAATATTGCTAAACACTGGATGTATCCCATCTCCACATACTGCCATTGATGCTGATGTCACTGGACTCCAGATGCTGTCACCACCATCAGTACTGTCAGGTAGTTAGGCAGACATGAGTGGGTCCTACCCTGTCTTGGACCAGGTCCTCCGCCTCTTCATCTACCCCTTTGTCACCAGATGGCAGAATATGCCCAAAACCCCTCCTGTTTATGGTTCAGTCTCCTGCCTTAACAGGGCCAAACAAGATGTAAAAAAGTCTAACCCGCCTTCCAGAGCACCAACACAGGTTGGCACACTAAGACCCAGAATGCAACTGGAGCTACCTAATGGTTCATTATACCATAATTATAATAAATTTACATTGTGGTTTTGCCTACCTCCACCCACTTCTATCCTGCCACCCCATGGCTTTTACTTGACAATTTATAAGTAAGACCTGCACACTAGGAAGGTTATATAACCTGAAAATGTCAATCAACATGTCAATTGAATGATGTAAGATGAGGGGAGGGACTTTTCACCATTTTAAAGACAACCCTAACCCTAATAGCGGGGCTTTTCTGAACAGCCCACCGTCCATCCTTCTCAAGAGCTTACTTTTGCTTTGCTTATAAATTCCTGCCACTTCAGACTGTCCTAAGTCTGTCACTTGATTGAAGTATTTCCATTGAGAAGACAAAGAACTGGGATCTAAACACACCAGTAACAGTATCACAGGTTCCTCTGAGAACTGCCTCTGCTATTACTGCCACAGGAATGCCCCACAGTCCTGGATCTCTGTAGTAATAGTTCTAGTTTCAAAACCCTGGAAGGTAGATCTGCTTGGCCCACTTAGCCAAGTCCTCTGGAGATTCCTTACACAGAAGAGTTTTCTAAACATAGAAAGGCCGTATCAATGCTGGTCAAAAAAAAAAAAAAAAAAAAACCCTACAGTAATTCACTCTGCTAGTGGCCCAAAATTAATATCATATTTCTTCACATACTTTTTTTCTCCCGTTCCTGCTGAGTGGTGTTCAGCTATGCCTCAAGCACCAGTTCCCCAAAGGAAGAAAATCCAAACCTACTCATTACTGATGCAGTTTCAAGTCTAATATGTCTAATCCTCCTCCAGTTTTGCTGTATCCTATTGATGTTTTGCAATTTATGGAAGAAAATTTTTAATTTAATTACCAATACACTGTGCGGGCTTATTCAGCAGCATGGAAAGTCCTTAACTGCCACATAACAGTCTCAGATTCCCATTAAATGGGTTCATCACTGGGTTCTTTAATGGAAGAGTTCTTATTTAGGCACTAAAACCTCCAAACCAGCATAGTCCAAAACTTTAAGTACAGGTATCATATTAAGAGGAGTCCTACCCAGTCCTGCCTCTTGTTTCCTGAACTGTTATTATGATTATAGGAAAAAGAGTATCACATATTAATTTTTGGCTCTGAGAATATACATCTTGTCAGAAAGCTCTTCCTCCCACACTTTCCAGGTGAGATCTCCTCAGATCATAACTGAGTCTTTAACTCAACCATCCATAAAGTTGGCTGTTTCTGGTAATGAGATTCGTAACACAAGTCACCCCATGAGCATTGCCCAATGGCTTTGCTTCTTTTGCTGAAGGATGATTAATTGGTTAAAAAATGGTATGTGTGAAATCTAATGGGGAATAAACAAGCCAGTAAGTGTGTGGACGATCATTTTGGGAGAAAGTTGCTGAGCAGAAAAATCAAATCCAGTGTGTATCTTTTGGAAGCTGATCAAATCAAGGCATCCTCCAGATTGTGTGCCAGGGGGAGGACCAGGAGTAGTTGCTGATGGGACAAGTTGAACGCTCAGCCATGAAAGTAGCCATTCCTTTAGGTAGGGGGAAATCCATGTTGAGCTGACACATAGTGTCTGTCCTTAACACCTTGGCCACTTGGTATGTGAGGCCATGGAACAAGCACAGGAGTGCCTGGGAAAGCAGTAGGATTATAATTCACAGAAACAAAATTCTTTTCAAGCTTACTATTCTATCATAAAAATTCATCCAGTGGGGCTTTTTGGAAAGCATTGCCATGGGCTACAAATATATGTTGATTCTGGGACCATTCCAATCCACATACATTTTCCCAAACCTTCTTGACTCCTAGACCCTACTTCATTCCTTCTAAGTTTCATCCCATAAAACATTTAGCGTGTATCCTTTAAACAGTATAGAATCTTCATCCTAGCCTCCTTCCTTTGAAGCAGAATGGGCATTGCTATGTACCATTGTTACTGGTTGAGATGCTGTTTTTCCTAGGATCGTGTCTTGGAGGCAATGAAGAATGAAGCCAACAGACAAGAGTACAGAGCAACCAGCAAAGCTTTTAATGAAGAGTAAAAAAAAGCCTCCTGCTAATTAAGAGGGGCTCCAAGGAAGGAAAACCACTTTGGCTGCAATGTCCAAGAATTACAAGCACTGGAAAGGAGGATTTCCACCTGGTTGCCTAGGACTTGTTGCTAAGGCTGGGCTGTGGGATCAGAAAACCCCTTTTTTTCTCAGGCTGGCCATTTCAGAGCGTGGTTTCTTAGCCTTAAGATAAGTCTCTCCTGAGCTTATTATGCTGACCTCAGCATTTTTTAGGAAAATTAATCATGCTTGTCCCTTGTCTCTGCCCTACCTCACCTACATTAGCTGGAGCAAGTCTCAAGGTCCACCCAGATTCAGAGATCAACTCCCTGAATTCTTGATGGGTTTTCCTTTGTATGTGATCTTTTTTCTCTCTCTGGCTGCTTTGCTATTTTAATTATTATATGTCTTGGTGTCTTCCTAGGGTACCTTGTGCACATCCATGGTCTGAGAGATTATTACCTTCCCCAGATTGGAGTAGTTTTCAGCAATTATTTCCTCAAAGAGAGTTTCTATCACTTTTTCTCTCTCTTTTTCTTCTGGTAGCCCTATAATGCAAATATTGGATTGGTGACACAGTTCTCTTATTCTTTCATTCCTGAAGATCCTTTTTTCTTTGTGCCTTAGCTTCTTTGTATTCCTGTTATCTAATTTCTATTTCATTTACCATCTCCTCTACCTCATCTGTTTTTAAATCCCTCCATTGTATATTTCATTTCAGATACTGTATTTTTCAAAGTTTCTATCTCTTTCTTGAACTCTTCCTTAAGGTCTTGAATATTATTCTGTAGCTCTGTGAGCATGTTTATGATTTTTATTTTGAAATCTTTATCAAGGAGATCGCTGATTTTAGTTTCATTTAGCCCTCTTTCTGCTGCTTGAGGGATATGGGTTTGTGCAAAATTCTTTTGCCATTTCATATTTCTAATGATTACTATGGAATAATAACTTTGTGTAGGCAGCACCATCTAGTGCTCAGAAGCTCTACTCTCTGGAGCTGCCCAGTACCTGGAGCAATGGTGGGGGTTGCAGGCAAGTGGTGCCATTGCCTGCTGGGAGGAAAGAGTTCTTTTCTGCTTCCTGGCTGTAGTGCCTGCCTCCCCTGCCAGGGCCAGTTGGCTGAGAGTGTGGGGAGGAGCCTCTACATTATGCCCTTGTGGCTACTGTGGGTGGGACCAACCTCTGGCTGGCCTGGCATGATGGTGGGGGCAGAAGGTTTGCAAACTGATACTGGCCGGGAGGAAGGAGTGGCAGGCAGCATATCATGGGGGCCTCAGGGCTGCATTGGCAGCCAGGGGGATGGAACTCCTGAAGCTCCTGAAAGTTCCCAACCTGTTGCATTGAGTGTGCTGACAATTTTGTCCACCTGTCCTTTCTCCTGAGCAGCAAGCTCTGTGTAATCCTTGCCTCTTTAGCACCCCTCTCGCTGTTGGGAAGTCTTTCAAAGTGCCTCCCAGAGCGGCAGATTGTGGGTATCTGT